ATGTTTTTCCCTCTGCGGTTTTTGGCACCCGCCTCGGACGCAGCCACGCCAACTCTCTCTCAGCTTCTGCTCCTTCTCACTGCGGAAACATAAGACAGGTCTCCCTCATTAAAACAGTCCTGTACACCTGTTCCCTCCCCGCCACCGTGCCGCCCTGAGAGCTCACTCTGTCACCCCTCTTCTGCAGCAGGCCAAAAGACCACGCCCCCACCACAAGTCCATATTTTGATATTGATCCAATACCAAGTAAATACGGGCTTAATACAGATACTTTTCATTAAATAAGTTGGATGCGTCATTGAATTGCTAAATCCCAATTCATTTTCAGGAACTTAAGTGTTTTTTGTGATGTTTCCTTTTTTATTATTAAATGGTTAAAGTCCAGGACATAGTTAGGACAAAGTTTATAATTAAGATAATAGAAATAATAGAAAATAATAAAATAATAGAAAATGCTTTATTTTGTGGTGGGGCGTGGTCTGCGATGCCGCTGCAAGTGAGATGGACTGACTTGCACGGCATCTACAATCATGCCTTGCCAGCTTAAAACCTGTGCTCTGCTTGTGTTGTTGTTGGTGATGGTGATGTGTACGGCTGGCAGTGGGTGAGCTGGAGCCATTGAATATACTGCTACAGCAACTGTGCTATTATTGTAAGAATAAATGATGCTGCGAAACATGAAAATGCCATCGGGTCTGCCGTGGTGGTTTACTTATCAAGCTGTTTTTTGTTTTTTTCTAGAAAAATCTTGTGCACGCAAACCAGTAAACAAATAAAAACAAACGAGAGAAACTATAATACAAAAATTAGAGACACAAGATTGGGAGAGGGGGAGCAACGTGTGCCTGCTCTTTGCTTACACCGGAGCGGCGACTCCTGGCTGTTTCGTCTTTGCCGAAAGCACAGCATTGCAAACAAGAGCAGAACTTAAAGTAAAGAATCAATCTCACCAGGCTAGTATTGATCCGATGCTGACTTGGTATGGATACAATCAATATTTGGATGATCCACCCACCACTACTACACAGAACAGCAGTGGGGACAGAGAATCTCCTTGTTTTGTCCTGCACTTGGTGGAGACTTGTGCAGTTGGCTTGAATTTAAAATTAACATAATGTAAGAAAAAAAGGTTTTGTTTATTTTATTTTATTTTTTTGCTTTTTATACACTTCTGTATCTACATTTGTCAGTTAACTACGATTAAAATGCACAGACTGAGGAGCTCCTGTAGATTTTCTTTGGTTAACATTCAGATACCCAAGAACCATGGTAATGTCCTCATGTTGACAGATTCACAGTACTGTCATGTGTATAAAATGGATTATTCAATCACAACTAAAACTGAGAGCTATAATTATGTATATGCACAGGAATACCCACCAACTGAGCAGAGCCTAGACAGTTAGAAAGTTAGGTTTTTAAACAGCTGTGAAAGAACATACCGTATTTTCACGACTATAAGGCGCACATAAAAGTCTTAGATTTTCTTCAAAATGTGCGGCGCGCCCTATAGTGCAGTGCGCCCTGTGTGTGTTGTTGTTGTAAGGGGGACGTAGTAGAGAACACCATGAGAATGCTAAAGGGGGAAGTGTGGGCGTTGATTGTATATAAAAGAACGGGTATGTGCGTTATGCATAACATCGTTGTTTTAACAACCCTGAAAATGGCAAAGAGACACGCTTATGAAGCACAGTTTAAACTGAAGGCCATCAGCTACGCGGAGGAACATGGAAATCGAGCAGCCGCGAGAGAATTTAAGATTAATGAATCGATGGTTCGCAAGTGGAGGAAGCTGGAAAACGAGCTCCGACAGGTCAAGAAGACGCAGCTGAGTTTCCGCGGACATAAGGCGAGGTGGCCCGAGTTGGAGGAAAGACTCGAGCAGTGGATCATTGAGCAAAGAATGAGTGGGAGAAGCGTTTCGACGGTCACCATTCTACTAAAAGCAGTAACGCTAGCAGAAAAAAATGAAAATTGAACATTTCCAAGGAGGTCTGTTTTGGTGCTTTCGTTTCATGAAACGATGCCATTTTTTCATCCGGACCAGGACTATGGTAGCGCAGCAACTTCCAGCGGATTATAATGAATAGCTGGCCATCTTCCGCTCCTACTGCAGCAAACACATCGTCGCCAAACACATCCAGCCCAGCCACATCACTAACATGGACGAGGTGCCGCTCACTTTCTACATCCCGGTGAGTCACACTGTGGAGAAGAAGGGGACCAGCACGGTAGCGATACGCACAACGGGGTACGAAAAGTCTTCTTTTACTGTTATGCTTGGCTGCCATGTTAATGGACAGAAACTGCCGCCTATGGTGATTTTTAAGAGAAAGACTTTGCCTAAAGAGAAGTTTCCAGCAGGAGTCATCATTAAGGCAAATGAAAAGGGCTGGATGGATGAGGAAATGATTAAAGAGTGGCTGAGGGAGGTGTATGTAAGGAGACCAGGTGGTTCTTTCCACGCATCACCATCGCTGTTGATCTGTGACTCTATGTGTGCCCATCTCACAGCCGATGTGAAAAAAACAAGTGAAGCAAATGAACTCTGAGCTTGCTGTCATTCCGGGAGGCCTGACAAAGGAACTCCAACCGCTGGACATCGGTGTGAACTGGCCGTTCAAAGTAAGGCTGCGAGCGGTGTGGGAGCGATGGATGACCGATGGAGACCACAATTTCACTAAGAGTGGAAGGCAGCGCCGGGCGAGTTACACCACAATTTGCGAATAGATTGTAGCTGCTTGGGCTAACATGTCTGCTGGCACTGTTGTTTGAGCTTTTGCAAAAGCCGGCATCATTTCCAAGGAGCCGCACAGCACGGAAAGTGACTCTGACAGTGAAGAAAGTGAACCTGGCATGTTTGATGGAGATTTAGTGCAGTTGTTCAATTCAGAAACAGAGGATGAGGACTTCGATGGGTTTGATTGATGACGATTACTGGTAAAATAAATGTGAATACCAAACTCAGTTTTGCTCCCGCTCCATTTTTAAATACACACACTTGTATGCTTGTGTCTGTTGTTGTTGTAAGGCGGACATAGTAGAGGACACCATGAGAACGTTAAAGGGGGAAGTGTGGGCGTAGATTGTATATAAAACCCGCGCCCTATAATCAGGTGCGCCTTATGTGTGTGTTAAATAACTGAGTCTGCGCCTTTTAGTACGGTGCGTCATATGGTCGTGAAAATACGGTATCTGGAAGTTTTTGCTTCTGAGGAAGATTTTATCTTTGATAATGGAAATCCTATAATAACTGAGAGAAGTACTCAAAATGACTAAATAAGCAATGTAATCTTAATGACTTTTATAAGGTACAAGGGGAACAACAAGTGAATGTCAGTGATTCAACCATGAAGGTCACTGACAAATTTGTTCACTCAAAGATGAACTTCTACTCTTCATGTGTAACTTGACACTTGGTTGACTACCCTCTCGGTAGAACCCCAGCTGTCTCTGATCGCTGAGGTGAGAGGGCTAGTGTTCACTGATTTGATCTCAGAGGACGACTTTCTCTCTTACCCTTCGTGTCGTCAAGACACACTAAGAAATCTTCTAATTGCAGCAATTCAAGAGCCTGCTGAAGATTATTGTTTGCTGAATACATACCAGCAATCATGTGATAGGTTTAGTTATTAATAGGAGCTGACTTCTGATGCATTACTAGGAGCAGCATTCCAAGTTAGCACAGAGTGTCCACTCTGCAGCTGGACTGAATTTCTACAATTCCTATTCTGGGTCTTATCTATAAAATCCTGCTGGAAAAGACAGACTGATATCTGAAATGTATACCTTATGCTGAGTACAGCATAGGGTATACAGGTGTGCTCTCCTTTGATTTGATTCAAGCCCTTGGCAAAAGTGAAAAGGAAAAACTCATTTTTCCTTCAGTCAGAAACCTCTGGTAGATCCAGGTTCCCGGAAGGGGCAGCTGCAGCTGGAGTTGTTGGTTTTTAAATTTACTGGGAACGAAGCTTAAAGCTGAATTTGACTGTATAGTTATTTCTTCATAGCTGTTCCTTTATTAAAGAAAAGAAAACATAGGGGTGGATATGAGGGAATATTCCTGCAGATTTCCCATGTGTGGGACCAATAAAGGTTATCTTATGTTAGATGTGTTTCTGATTATTAGGTAGTGAGTATTATTTACTCACTGCACAAAGTGATGTCAGAGAGACATCTTATATAAGTCATTTTTGCATGTTTAATTTTGGTCCAGTAAAGTGGTTGTTTTGTAAGGCTAGGCGACGTTGTGTTTTTTTAACCTGTAATGAATGTCTGGCGTTATCTTCCTCTCATTGTAGCAGAGGCTCTCAAACTGGTGTTCCCAATCCACAGATTGGGTATAAGCAAAAAACCTATGGTGGCACCTAGATACATGTGCATCATCCGGGGTTGAGTTAATTAGCGCAATGGACAAATATTTAAGTCCATCTACTTCATCAAGTAATGCAAAAGCCAAACTAGCTAAAATTATAGAGTATGACAACAATTCATTTGAGTTTGGCTTTATCGAGAATGACAATGGCAGACCAAAGTGTGTTTGTGTCTTCAAGAAGTAAAAAAAATCAATGAAGCCAGCAAAGCTAAAGCAGCATCTCATCACAAAGCACCCCGATTTTTATCAGCGTTAGGATTATAAGGGGCCCTTTAACACACTCACTTCCTCTTACAAAGCCCAATAAAACAGGATACTTGTAAAAATGAACCCTGAAGGTTTTTGAGCCCTGGGAATTTCAGGACAATATATCCTGTAACTTTGATGTTATGAGGGGAAACATTGCATCTGTAAAATGCCATAAAATAGTAAAAACGAAAGTGATGTTCTCTAATTCATATGTATGTATATGGAATATTTCAAGTGCTTTTTTTCGCTGTTGACTGTGTGCCTTTGTGTAAACCTGAGCAACAGCTCGGCCAATGACAGGCGAGGAACAGCACAGCCTTTTTTGCATACAGCGGAAATAAAAGAGCCACTCTCAGCTGATGAGCACATTCTCCGCTGTGAGGAAGTGAAGGAAGAAAATGCCTGAACCCGCCAAGTCAGCGCCCAAGAAGGGCTCGAAGAAAGCCGTGACCAAGACCGCCGGCAAGGGCGGCAAGAAGAAGAGAAAGACCAGGAAGGAGAGCTACGCCATCTATGTGTACAAGGTGCTGAAGCAGGTTCACCCCGACACCGGTATCTCGTCTAAGGCCATGAGCATCATGAACTCGTTCGTCAACGACATCTTCGAGCGTATCGCCGCTGAAGCCTCCCGCCTGGCCCACTACAACAAGCGCTCCACCATCACCTCCAGGGAGATCCAGACCGCAGTTCGCTTGCTTCTCCCCGGTGAGCTGGCCAAGCACGCCGTGTCTGAGGGCACAAAGGCCGTCACCAAGTACACGAGCTCCAAGTGAACTGCATCTTTACTTAACCCCAAACAACGGCTCTTTTCAGAGCCACACATCTCTTCTAAAGAGTACATGTCCTGACTTTATTTATTTAAATTGTAGCTGTCATGATGGTGAAAAATAAACTACAGCTTGTGTTTCACGGACTTAATAATGGACAACCTGACCAGAGCAGTCCTAACGCTACCACTATATCATTTAGCATTATTATTATTAATTTAATTTTATTTTTTATTTTTTTTGGGGGGGTGTGTCATGTTTTGTGGTCCCTTGTCTGCGAAAAGCACTGAATAAATACACTTGTGGGTTCCTCAGAAATAATGTGAACAAGAGCTTATTGAGCTCATCCTGGTGAGGCAAATGTTTGGCTTCAAATCACAATTCTGATCGTAAAATCTGGACAGGATTACAAATACAATAAATAAACGCGATTTGTTACAGTTTCACATTTCAAACTACAGTGACATCCTCCCTGTGTGTGATCTATACATGTGTTAATCGTTATGTCAATAAGTCTTAATGTAGTTCAACACTTATGCTAGACTCTGGGTAAAACGTTAAGAGGGTGTGTGGTTTTTGTTACAAATGCGGACACTTGGGTTTAGTTTGAAATAAAAATGTGAATTCCACTCAGACATTGTGGGTGTGATTTGGTGTGGGTCTCATCGGTTAGACTTAATTTGTCATTTAACAAAAGACCACATTTAGAAAATAGAAGAGTGGGCGGAGCCACTGAGCTTCGAGTCGTCATCGCACCGTCTGTTTTCTCTTACGTCCGCCGAGTACACTTAATAACACGGCTCCGTGGAGTTTAACTTCATTCGACTTTAGTTGTTCAAAGAAGAAACTGTAACCATGAGTGGAAGAGGCAAGGGTGGCAAAGGACTTGGAAAAGGAGGCGCCAAACGTCACCGTAAAGTGCTCCGTGATAACATCCAGGGTATCACCAAACCCGCGATCCGCCGTCTGGCTCGCCGTGGCGGAGTGAAGCGTATCTCTGGTCTGATCTACGAGGAGACCCGCGGAGTGCTGAAGGTGTTCTTGGAGAACGTGATCCGTGATGCCGTCACCTACACGGAGCACGCTAAGAGGAAGACTGTAACCGCCATGGATGTGGTGTATGCTCTGAAGAGACAGGGCCGCACTCTGTACGGCTTCGGCGGTTAAACTCAGTCGCCCTAATCCATCAAACGGCTCTTTTAAGAGCCACACACCTCTCTTTAAGAGCTTTGTTCTGCAATCTTTTTGTGTGGGTTTTTTTTTTTTTTTTTTTTTTTTGGTCACTTTTTACTGCCTTACTTTCAGTCAATGTATTTTGTTTTGCACTCTGAATATCTCATACGCCATTAGGTCATGAGAATTGTCAGGTAGGAAATATTGTACTGCATGATGGTTCCACTGGTGCACCTGAGGGAGGTGCACAATATGACAATGAAATAATATGACTTTAAGGACTTAACATTGCTTCAGTTATAGTACACAAACATCTCTTATACATTAGCACTAAGGGAACACTGAATGACCTGCTGGTTTTTATCCATAAAACTACTCATATAAGATTACCACAAAGTAAAAGGTCTCTGCAACATTTTATGCACACTATTGCCCCTATCAAATAAGTGAGCTAGGATTTTTTTTTTTTTCATAATTCTAAACATGAACTACTGTTACAGCAACAGACATGGACTACTGGTGCCCCACAAAACAACTCAATGTCCACTATGTGAAGGAGTGAAACACATGCCTGCTCCTCTCGTTAACTGATAAACTGCTGGCATATTTGTTTTACATCTATACTGTCCAGTGTCTCCTGGTGAACATGGTATGCAGTAGCATTGTTTAATCTCATGAGTCATTGTTGATCTTGTTTGATCACTGAAGCTTCTTTCAGCCTCAACCGAGGATACTGGAATGACTAAAAGCAGCCTGACAATTGTCATGATAATAAATACTAGTTAATCTAATCAGTCAGTCAACTGTGACCTTGTCTCTTCACCTCTGAGCTACAACATGGCAGAGCTGCCTCTGTCACCTGAAAAATAACAGTGAGACATTCCAAATACATGCAGTCACACATGTGCTTCATACAGTAATGAACCACCAGATCATCATCCAATTTCACCTGTGATCTTGAATCACCATTACTCTCTATCACCTGACAAATAGGACATACATGACAATAAGAATAAAATGTGTAGCTGCTTCAGTGTTTCTGTCGATTTGTGCAGATTTTGACTCATCAGTAATGTTTGTAGGGTGAGTGCATTTTTAAAACAATTTGTGCAAACTGCACTACAAGGTGGAATATTTGCAAAAGCATGACGACCTCATCATATTTTGTCTCAAAAATTAACCCTTTGATTATGTCAGTACCATTAGGATGAAATTGTGTCACCAACAATTTAACGTTAGACATAAATTTAACAGCCTCTGTAAACTAATGTTAACATGTTAGGCTTACTGTCATGTCTATAGTATTTTATAGCACATTAAAAAAAATAAAAAATAAGTGAATAAGTAAAGGAGGGAGACATTTAAGGATACAACAATTCATGCTAAAAATTAATGAAGCATTTTTGTAACTGAAGTCAGTGATTTCCACGTTCATGCCGACTGTAGTTTCTAGTATAGAAAGAGCATGAAGATTGAAGTGTGCATATAATATTGATGTAATAGTAAGAAAGGAGTGAGCTCTTGGTGTGAGGGAGTTGGCTCTGAAAAGAGCCGTTGTTTGTAGTCGAGCGAGTAGCTTAAGCTCTCTCTCCGCGGATGCGGCGAGCCAGCTGGATGTCTTTGGGCATGATGGTGACCCGCTTGGCGTGGATGGCGCACAGGTTGGTGTCCTCGAAGAGTCCGACCAGGTAAGCCTCGCTGGCCTCTTGCAGAGCCATAACGGCAGAGCTCTGGAAGCGCAGGTCGGTCTTGAAGTCCTGAGCGATCTCGCGGACCAGGCGCTGGAAGGGCAGCTTGCGGATGAGCAGCTCGGTGGATTTCTGGTAACGGCGGATCTCGCGCAGAGCCACGGTACCGGGCCTATAACGGTGAGGCTTTTTGACGCCTCCGGTGGCCGGGGCGCTCTTACGAGCGGCTTTGGTGGCGAGCTGCTTCCTGGGGGCTTTGCCGCCAGTAGACTTGCGAGCGGTCTGCTTGGTTCTTGCCATTGTTTATCACTTTTCTTTTCCTGTGACACGAGCAGATGTTGTAGCAAACAGAGGAGACTCGCTGCTCTTAAACTGTGTGTGTCTGTGACGCGGTGCCGCTCCGGCTCGTGATTGGCGAGGGGCTCCACGTGGTGCTCATCACCGTTCAGAGGAGCACCGCCCCGCCTCGGTGTGTGCTGCTCATTGGAGAAAAGTGCATTGAAATTGCGCGCTGCCGCAAGCCTCTCTGCGATTGGTGCGTGACGAAGCTGCGCGCGCTCTGCGGAAATATAAGCGAGGCTTTGAGCCGATCGAGTCACATTTCCTTTGAGTGCCGATACTACGAAGAGAAGAACCTGTCAAAATGAGTGGTCGCGGAAAAACTGGAGGCAAAGCGAGAGCTAAGGCCAAGACCCGTTCATCCCGTGCCGGGCTCCAGTTCCCCGTGGGTCGTGTCCACAGACTGCTGCGCAAAGGCAACTATGCGGAGCGTGTGGGAGCCGGTGCCCCCGTTTACCTGGCAGCTGTGCTCGAGTATCTGACTGCTGAAATCCTGGAGCTGGCTGGCAACGCAGCCCGCGACAACAAGAAGACTCGCATCATCCCACGTCACCTGCAGCTGGCTGTGCGCAACGACGAGGAGCTCAACAAGCTCCTGGGGGGAGTCACCATCGCTCAGGGTGGTGTGCTGCCCAACATCCAGGCCGTGCTGTTGCCCAAGAAGACAGAGAAGCCCGCCAAGGCCAAGTAAACGCAAAGCGCCCTGCTTCAACAAAAACAAAGGCTCTTTTAAGAGCCACACACTTCTCTCTGAGCAAACCTCCCTCCTTCTTGATGCGTCATTAACAACTTGTGAAATTTAGCAGAGATGCATCTTCATTTATTTTGAAATGTATATTAATTCATGCCATCTGTCACAGTAAGGGACTCAAGTGCACCTTAAAGAAAATCAGTTTGCGTTATTGTCATCAGGCAAGAATAGACATTAAAGCTCAAATTTTAACATTGCAATCAAAAATAAAACTGAAAGAAAAGCTTGCAGTGTTTGTGATTAAGGCCTGTGCCTTGTTCAACCTCGGTGTGCTCCTATAGCTTAATAATTAGGGGTAAATTTGAAGCTTATCATTAGTGATATCCTAACAATGACTAAACATGCATCATGGTTCACTCGCTTGATAATTAAAGCAGATCCTAAGCTCATGGAAACACAAATGCAATAGTAAATCAGAACATGAGAAGGACAGGTGGAGCTCTTTGGTGCTGCAGGAACTATCCAGGTACAGAGGGAGGAAAATGTGGAGCTGTTTGCAACATGTTCGGCACTGCTGCTGAATTTGGGACAAAGTCACTTACGTCTACGCTTAGGTTTTTGTGTCTATTGTGAGTACAATAAAATAATGATTACAATACAATGTACTTAGGTTTGCTTGGATAATAGGGGGCAGCTGGAGATCAGAACAACAGGAAACGATTCGTAAGTGTTGTCAAAGGAGCTTGCAAAGAAAAGCGTCTGAACTTCTTTAAGTTGCTTGGAGACGTTTCACCTCTCATCTGAGAAGCTTCTTCAGTTCTAAGGTCAAATGGTGGGGAGTCCCAGATATAAACCTAGTGGGAGTATCCCCCCACAGAGGGACAAAAGGACCCCCTGATGATCCTCTAATCGCCTGAGCCAAGGTGTGACACTGGCTGTGGGTCCCAATCAGCCAGGGTTTCGGGTGAGCTCTTTGTGAAACCTGGCCCCACCTTGTCATGCGAATTCCTGAGGTCAGATGGCCCAGGATGTGAGTGGGCGTTACAGCATCTGGGGAGGGAACTCAAAACGTAAGTGTTGGTTTTGTTAGAATGACTTTGTCAACCTCTGTTTTAAGGACAATAGTGGATTTGTATGCTCAAAGCATTTCATGCGACCTTAAAGCTCTCAAGAATGGCATTAAGTTGCTGAACCCTGACCTCTAACGTGCCAAATCAGTGGATTTATCTATAAAACTTTGGCGTGAATTTATTGACAGTGGGGGTCTGCCTGTCATAAAATGAGAGTTACAGTCACTAGCCTGGGGAGAGGACAGCCCCCCCGAGACTGAACAATAGAATTAGTGGAAAACTACTGAGGAGGGGGACACAGGGCAGCCCCGGACTTTTCTTCAGCTGGGATATCAAAAGGATCGGTGAGGTCAAGAAGAAGTAAACCTCAACACTGTATTTTGAAATAATGGATTTCCCTGCATCCTTAACCCTACAGAACTCAATTTGTTCAAATGTGCATTGGTTATGAAATTAGTAATGAAATAAATACATGGTAAAATAAATCGCTGTATGGGTTCAGCTTGGAGTAAAATGTGTGTCCTTAAAATCACCGAATATCAATTCAGCTGGCCTAGATTTAGTCAGGTAAGGTTACATTGTACTTCCACTAAAACAGCCAGTGTAGGCTTTCAAAAATATATATATATATAAGTGAAACATATCTCATATATAGATAATAACATGCATCTATAAATGTAATATTTTCCATCACATTTGTTGTTTTTTTAACAGATAATTATTTAAAATGTAGGTGATAACTTTTAAAGGTGTATTTCTTGTATGATAGGGTCACATAGTAAAACAAGAAGTGGTGTGATGTCTTGTACTATGAAGGTATGATTGTAAATATTGAGTTAATATTTGTGTTGTTGTCTTTTTCTGGAGTTGTAGACTTGTGAAGACAGAACTAATGTGCACCATGATACTAATACAAGTTGTAAATGTAATGAGAAAAATGGGTGGCGTGTGCTTTAATAATAAGGACATTATTCTGAATGATAGAGTGGTGATTGAGTGTAAGGAAGGGGCTCTTGTGTGTTGCTGTGGTGGCTCTGAGAAGAGCGTTGTTGAGTGTGAGAGTGGTGGCAGCTCACTTCTTCTTGGCTGCTGTGTTTGCTTTCTTGACTTTGGGCTTGGCAGCCTTCTTGGCGGGGGACTTCTTTGAGCACCTTCTTGGGGCTTTTGGGCGCTTTCTTGGCTGCTATTGCCTTCTTGGGCTTTTTGGCAGTTGCTGCCGGTTTCTTGGCTTTGGCGGGCTTCTTGGCTTTGGGAGCGGTTTTCTTTACAGGCTTCTTGGCTTTGCTCTCAGTAGCCTTCTTGTTCATCTTGAAGGATCCGGAGGCCCCGGTGCCATTGGTCTGCACCAGAGTGCCCTTCGCCACCAGGCTCTTGATGACGGTCTTGACGCGGGCCTTGTTCTTGTCCACATTGTAGCCTCCGGCAGCCAGAGCCTTCTTGAGAGCGGCTGCGGACACGCCGCTGCGCTCCTTGGAAGCGGCCACTAGTGATGTGTGGATCGATCCTGAAATATTGATTCCTCCGATACCAATCACTTATGTTCTAGAATCGATTCTCACATTAAAATATCGATATTTTAGTAATTTAGGGTAAATTTGTAGTTTATCATTCATAGGAACACAGTGGAAAGAAACTATCATTCGGATTGTCTAAATTCAAAGGAACTACTTCCTCTTCCGCCTTTCATAGTCATGTGCGAAATACGGCTGTATAAATGTCTCGCAGCCGCTAGCGCGCACTCACAACAATGGCTGAGCGTAGCTGGAGTCGTGTGCGGACGTATTTTACCTCCACAAACAGCTGAGACGTGGTTTGCGATACATGTGGCAAAAAAGTGAGGTGTTGTGGCCATACTTGCCAACCTTGAGACCTCAGAATCTCACTGTTAAACCTTTTTTTTGTCACTACTAGTCAAACATATTTTATCATTGTATCTATTTTATTTATTTAATCATAGTAATGTTGTTATTATTATTTGTTATTTATTTTATCCTGCTCTGCCCATGTCGGTGAATTTCCAAGCTCTGGGACTAATAAAGCTTATCTCGTGTCCTGGATAGCGACCCCAGTTTAATCTAATATAGTATTTTTAATTATGCCCAGTATGTCTCTGCTCCTCTTTCTGGAGGATTCTGTTATTCTTCCACCTACTGAAAAATATGTAACCACAAATTTTTGTCCAAGATAAGTAAAATGCTGAACAATACCTCCGACCCACTTCATCATGTGCTGACCAGACACAGGAGTGGGTTTAGTGAGAGACTGAGATTACCAAAATTCACCTCTTAACACCACAGGAAATCATTCCCTGTACAACTCCATCTTATGCATAGCACTTACTACAATAGTTGCATTATATAAAGGGAGATAGAAAGGTGGCTGTGGAGCCATCGAATTAGGAGTTAGATTGAAGATGGCTTTCATGGAAATTCCTCTTTGGTCATAGCTAGGAAAGCTGGGTGCGAAGGACGCAGCAGAGCCTGCCTGTGGCATAGGCAGACCTACAACAGGGTGGATATCCTACTGCTAGCAAAGGGTGCATTTAAAGCAGGCCAGTATGTAACAGTTTGAAGTTACAAAGATTAAATCTTTAATTCTTTTAAAAACATATTTAAAATCAGTATTTGGCACAACACAAGTCCCATAAATGTAACAGTTTTGACTTTTCACCTAATAAACTGTAAGTTTAAGTTTTGTTTTGCTTTTTTTATTCTCCAGAGTTTGGTGAAAACAAGAAGAGAGGTCGCAATCCGTTGCCTGATGGTGTATCTGAAAGAAAAAGAAGAGGATCTCTTCAGAGAACAGCTGGTAGGTGAATCTCACATTCTTTTGTGTTATATTTTTAAATGGCACATAAAATACTGACATGTTTCCATTTAACCTACTTGCCAGGATGGTGAAGAACAGTTCCCAGAAGAAGTGGTAAAGATTGTAGTCACAAGACGTGCAGCAGCCTGGAAGACCTTGATGTGCCCAGAGCGTGTGCCTTAATGATGGGGCTTATATACTGTTACCGCGCCAGATCCGCGGTCCCGAACCGTAGTAAGGAAACCTCTGGCAGTTACTTGAAAGTTCCGTAACTGACTCGTAGCCGGCAACAGCTTACTATACAGGTCAACTCCGCTAGCAAAAAGATCGAAGGAGGCGTAGGAAACTGCTTCACCGAACTTTATTTCTTCTCCAAGGCACGAACACCGCGTACAGTGGGCTGAAACAGTCTACTCACAGCGAGCATCGCCGACACAACTCT